CGTCCTCCGCCTCGACGGCCACCACCTCTCGCCTCCTGCATTAAGCACTTCGCAACGACAATTTGCGATACATTTGCAAGTGCGCGCCGCGACTTCATATTCCATTCCAACTCCGCGGAAAATTTCTGGGAAGGCAGACAATCTCACGGTGACTGTGTGCGCGTACGAACGAGAGAGAGACGTAGACGTGGTGAACGGATGGAAACGGAAACGAGAAAGAGAGAGAGAGAGAGAGAGAGAGAGAACGATTCGTGGTCCACCGTATCTCCGCAGAAAGTGTCTCTGATCGAACGATTCCACGGCTGGCTGAAGCAGTTACGTTTTTGCCCTGGCCGACGTTTTACAGCGTCATGGTTCTTTAATCAACGCCGACCAACCATAGTATCGTTCAACGATGAAAAGTGTGTTTTTAAAGATCGGGAAATGGCGCGGGGCGGGGGTTCGCTACGAGGGATCGATCGCGGGTCCACGGGTTTTCGGACAATGGTCCGAAGCCGAACTATTAATTTATAATAAAGTCATTTAAGTCGACTTGATTATTATTAAAGAAACTTTATCGGAAGAGTTTTGAATTACAGAACTCGTTTCCAGTGCACCGAAGCATGAGCCCACGAAAGCGGTAATTTAAGCAGCGAGTGCGTTCGTGGATCGTTAATTAGGATCGTAACTTTCCAAGTAATCTGGAATCGCATTTCACGGTGGTACCGATGTGCCGCGCACGAAGTCGATTTATCAGCGAGGCCGACCGTTGTCATGGGGATGCGACCCGCCCCCTTAAACCAACTCGCAACCCCCATGCAAACCATGCGCGTGGAGCCTCGAAAATAATCCCGCTCGCGAAACCAACCAGAAGTCGTACCCTTTCTTTCAAAGAAACGACGCGAGCCGAAAAATATGTTTCGCGATACGCGCTCGCGTAGAGATCTTTTTAGAAGAATGGCCGACGTTAAAAGTTCCTTAACCGTGTTTAAGCATCGCCGATAATTTCTCACGAAAGTCGACCGCTTATCTACCGGTAGAATCTTGATTCGCACGAGGATTTCCCATGATAAGTATCCGAGACAATCCGCGTCTAAAAACGTTGCCTGGATTTAAAAACGTTCCACGTCCTTCGCGTTTTCTCTTTCTCTTCTTTCACCGTTGAAATTTTCCATCGCCACCGGAGATTTCGATGGATGGTCTCGTGTATCAATAATATCCGAGTTAATTGATCACGCGAAAGCACAATTCTCGGGTGGAGTGGATGATGAATCGACAAACTAATTAGAAGACACCCGACGAGAGCGAAATCGTTCCGGATTTAATAACTCTTTCGCGAGAGTATCGAAAACATCCCTCGAAAATCGTTCTCTCTCACCGATCGAAAGACAATTGCTTCCAAACTAATTACTTTCCCTTCACGCCCCGTCCAATTTTGGCACGAAGCTGCACTTGGCCTACGCGAGGAAGTCGTCCGCGGATCGTACGTTACTTTCGACTTCTTTTTCCTCCCGTTGTTGTTTCACCAGCTCTCCCACGACTCGCCTCCGTGAAAGGTATCCACGGCACTCCTACTTAATTGTTGTTTATATCAAGCAATTTTTTCAAGCCTCGCCGACTAGCGGCGTGTATGCACTCGTAAAGGCTAATGCGTGCACGTGGATCGCGTTTTAAAAGCGAGCCTCTCGTTTCTCTCTCCTCCGCCGGTGGCTTCCCTTTTGTCGTGTAAGGCCGCATTTTTAACCTCGTGAACCTCGCTGACGGTCGCCGCCTCCTTTGCATCCCGACGTTTGCAAACGCTTCTCTCTCCCTCTCCCTCTCTCTCTCTCTCTCTCTTTCTCTCTTTCTCTCTATAATCTCACAGAAGCGAATGAAGTGTTTTCCTTTCTCCGCGTCGCGATACTCGCCTTTTGTCCGCTCGCTCTTTGTTCCCTGGGATTCGATATAAAACTCTCCATTCTTCTTCTATCCACTCGGATGTGCGTGCTTCCAATTATCCTCGCGAGATTATTAATACCGATTACCTTCTTTCTCGTATATGTATATCCCTCTTTATCCCTTTCGTTCAAATAAGTATCGTGCAAAAGATATTCACTCGACTTTCTTTTTCGTATATGTATATCTCTCTTCGTCCGTTTCGTTCAAATAAGTATCGTGCAAAAGATACTCACTCGATTTTCTTTCTCCTATATGTATATCCCTTTTCTTTTCTTTTGTTCAAATATCGTGTAAAAGATACTCACTCGATCTTCTTTCTCGTATATTCCTCTTCGTCCCTTTCATTCAAATAAATATCGTACAAAAGATCCTCACTTGATCTTCTTTCTCGTATATCCCTCGTCTTCTCTTTCGTTCAAATAAGGATCGTGCAAAAGATACTCGCTCGATCTTCTTTCTCGTATATCCCTCGTCTTCTCT